GGAACAGGTTTGGGGAGGAGCATCCGGAGTTCTGCTGAGGGCATCTTAAATTGGAGATGCTAGCTGGCACCCATGTGTGGTCATACCGGGACTGGATATGTTAAGTCTAGCACTCAGGGGCAAGGTTGGGACTTCAAACACATATCGTCCGTGTAGAGAAGATGTTTAAAGTTTTGGGTTGAATTCTAGGGTAGTAAGTTGGGAAGGTGGGAGTCCTTGGGTGCAGATGGTTAATGCACTTGGCTACTAACCGAAAGGCGGGTGGTTCGAGTCCACCCAGAGGCACCTCAGAAGAAAGCCCTGGAGATCTACTTCTGAAAAATCAGCCATGGAAAATCCTATGGAACGTAGTTCTACTCTGACACACGTGGGGTTGCCATGAGTCAGAATTGACTTGACAGTGACTGATGAAGTTGCTAGGGCAATTAGTGTACTTGTTCTGGAGTTGCTGGAGAGGTACATAAATGATATAAATACATGGCCACAGTTTGTCTTTTCTCTCAGTAACCTTTGGTGAGCTATATTTAAAAAGCCATTATAGATCAGGTGTTTTGGGATATCGATTTCCTATGTAATTTCCCCTCTAGGAATCGATAGTTACTGAAGTAATCTTGATTTGGGTATAAGAGTGTTTTTACATGAAAAGCAAAGTTGCAAGTCCCTGAATTTGCTTGCCACTTTTCTTATTCTGCAACCTCAGGGAGTCATTATGGAAACTGAACACTAGGGGGACCTAGAGTCCTTACTTTTGCAGGAGTGGTTGGTCTGCCTGTTGGAGGCTGTAGTCCTCGCTTAGGACGTGTTAGTTTCTGTGGAGTCAGCCTCTGACTCAGCGACCAATGGAAAGTGCACAATGGAAAGAAATGCTGCCCAGTCCTTTGCCATCCCCATGATCTGTTGCGGATCGGACTGTTGTAATCCATAGGGTTTTCGTTGGCTGACTTTAGGAAGTAGATCGCCAGGCTTTTCTTCCTAGTCCATCTTAGTGGCGAAGCTCCGCTGAAACCTGTTCAGCGTCATAGCAACACGCAAGCCTCCACTGACGGATGGGTGGTGGCTGTGCATGAGGTACACGGGCCAGGAATCAAACCTGGGTTTCCTTCACGAAAGGCGAGAGTTCTTCCACTGAGCCAACACTGCCCTCATTTAGGGCATCGAAAAGCCAAACCAAACCCGTTGTCATCAAGTTGATTCCAACTCATAGTGACCCTGTCAGACAGGGTAGAACTGCCCCATAGGGTTTCCAAGGAGCAGCTGGTGGATTTGAACTGCCGACCTTTTGGTTAGCAACCGAGCTCTTAACCACTACACCACCAGGGCTTCTCATTAAAAGACAAATCTAAAAACAAGGACAGCTTCTCTATTCTCAGTGCAGTGTATATTTTACATGCGTGACTTGTTAGCATGAGACACTTGTAAACTGTCTTTAAATTGGTCATTCTAAGAAATGCTCATAAGCAAATGGCCTCTACGTGATGGGTCCCTATTAGTGAGCCCTGTTATCTGGAAGCTTTTTAAAATAAGGATTCATGATGATTTCTGATTCAGAACATTTGGGATGGAGTATGCATATTTAAGTGTAATAAACATCTCCAGGTAACTTGAATGGCTAGGTGGGCCACAAGAGCCCTTAGAATCCATTTTCTATTTTATCACCAGGCATTAAGCTAAAGTAAAGGAAAATAAATGCACAGAAGCTACATTACACATTGTGTTGTTGTGTGCTGTCAAGTCAATTCCGACACATAGTGACCCTATTGGACAGAGTAGAACTACCCCATAGGGTTTCCTGGGCTGTAATCTTTTATTTAATTTTTTAAATTTTATTGTTGTACTTTAAGTGAAAGTTTACAATTCAAGTTAGTCTCTCATACAAAAGTGTATACATACATTGTTATGTGACCCTAATTGCTCTCCCTATACTGTGATAGCACACTCCTCCTTTCCACCCGATTTTCCATGTCCATTCAACCAGCTCCTGACCCTCTCTGCCTTCTCATCTCACCTCTGGACAGAAGCGCCCATTTAGTCTCATGTATCTACTTGAGCTAAGAAGCACACTCTTCACGAGTATCATTTTATGTCCCATAGTCCGGTCTAATCTTTGTCTGAAGAGTTGGCCTCGGGAATGGTTTTAGTTCTGGGGTTGACAGAGAGTCCAGGGGCCATGCTTTCTGGGGTTCCTCCAGTTTCCGTCAGACCATTAAGTCTGGTCTTTTTACTAGAATTTGAGTTCTGCATGCCACTTTTTTCCTGCTCCATCAGGGACTCTGTTGTGTTCCCTGTCAGGGCGGTCATTGGTGGTAGCCAGGCACCATTTAGTTCTTCTGGTCTCAGGCTGATGCAGTCTCTGGTTTATGTGGCCCTTTCTGTCTCTTGGACTAATACTTTCCTTGTGTCCTTGGTATTTTTCATTCTCCTTTATTCCAGGTGGGTTGGGACCAATTGATGCATCTTGGATGGCTGCTCTTCCAGCTTTTAAGACCCCAGATGCCACTCACCAAAGTGGGATGCAGAACATTTTCTTGGTAAACTTTGTTATGCCAGTTGACTTACATGTCCCCTGAAAGCATGGCCCTCAGCCCCCAACCCCTGCTAGTCTGTCCCTCGAAGTGTTTGGTTGTATTCAGGAAACTTCTTAGCTTTGGTTTAGTCCAGTTGTGCTGACTTCCCCTGTAGTGCGTGCTGTCCTTCTCTTCACCTAAGATAATTCTTGTCTACTATCTAGTTGGTGAATAACCCTCTCCCTCCCTCCCCACCCTCATAACCAAAGAATGTTTTCTTCTGTGTTTAAACCTTTTCTTGAGTCCTTATAATAATGGTCTTATACAATATTTGTCCTTTTGTGACTGACTAAATTCACTCTGGGCTGTAGTCTTTATGTGAGCAGATCACCAGCTTTTTTCTTCCATGGAGCCACTGGTGGGTTCGAACCACCAACCTTCCGGTTAGCAGCTGAGTGCATAACCATTGCACTGCCAGGGCTTTTACATTACGTATCATTGGAGTATAAAACAGATAACATTAAATGTCTAGAGACCTTGTATCAAGTAAGGATGCATTTGTCTTAAAAGAACATAGGATCTTAACTCATTTTTACAGCTGGGATAATTTCATTTTGGGGGAGGAAACAGTTCACATTTATACTGTGATATTAAGTCCAAAAGGTTAAAGTAGAATCTTCTCAGTCACAGGAAGTGAAAAGTGATCATTGATAAGTGTGCTATCCACTTTTGATACCTGTGATCTAAGAATTACTTTGACCACAGTGATCCTTTCATATCTGTCAGGACTGTTAGCGTTACTGGACTGTTGTGATCCATAGGGTTTTAATTGGCTGATTTTGGGAAGTAGATTGCCAGGCCTTTCTTCCTAGTTTGTCTTAGTCTGGAAGCTCCACTGAAACCTGTTCAGCATCACAGCAACAAGCAAGTTGTGCTACTACAGAGGTGTGCTATTGGTGGTTCTGACCCATTCTAGTGCCACAGCTGCGTAGAGCAGGGGTGAAGAATTTATGGCCCATGGATCAAATCCAGCCTGCTGCCTGTTTTTTTTAATGGACTGCAAGCTAAGAATAGTTTTGACATTTTTCAGTGGTTGAAAAAACATTGAAAGACTAGTATTTAATTATGTAGGAAAATTTTATAAAATACAAATGTCAGTATCTGTAAATAAAGTTTTATTGAAACACAGCCATGCTCATTCATTTACATAGTGTCTATGGCTGTTTTCATGCTACAATGGGCAGGGCAGCGTTGAGTAGTTGTGACAGAGACTATCTGGCCTGCAAAGCCTAAAATATTTACTATCTGGACCTTTACAAAAGAGCCCTGGTGGCACAGTGGTTGAAGTACCCAGCTGCTAACCAAAAGGTCGGAGGTTTGAACCCGCCAGCGACTCCAAGAGAAAAAAGGTAGCAGTCAGCTTCTGTAAAGATTACAGCCTTGGAAGACCCTATGAGGCAGTTCTACTCTGTCCTACAGTGTAGCTATGAGTCGGGACTGACTTGATGGCAGTGGGTTTGGTTTTGGTTTGGACCTTTACGTAACGTTTTGCCAATCCCTGGCGTAGAGTCTGTGCTATTTATTCAGAGGTTAGAACAGTTCTTAGGACTATTCTGTAACTGAGTATGATGTTAGTTGCTGTCAAGTCATTGCTGACTCATGATGACCCCATGTGTGCAGAGTAGAACTGCTCCATAGGGTTTTCAAGGCTATGACCTTTTGGAAGCAGATCGCCAGGCTTGTTTTCTAAGGTGCCTCTGGGCAGGTTTGAACTGCCCTTTCAGCCAGCAGCCAAGTGCTTAACCTTTTACGCCAACTGAATATAGTTTTAACTGTTTGCACTTACAGCTTTTGATAGGCTTAGCCTATTACTTTCTGTGGCTACTATGATATCATTTCGTTTATGTATTTTGCATTAAGGAATAATTAAGTTCAACAAGCACTTGTTGGAAACCTTTATGCGTCTCTAAAAACAACAACAAACAAATCCATTGCCACTGAGTCGATTCCAGCTCATAGCAACCCTATAGGACAAGTAGAACTGCCCCGTAGGGTTTTTAAGGGTGTAATCTTTATGGAAGCAGACTGCCACATCTTTCTCCCACAGAGCCACTGGTGAATTTGAACCACCGACCTTTCAGTTAACAACTAAGTACTTAACCACTGCGCCACCAGGCCTCCTGTATGCGTCTCTAGTAGAGCTAAAAGATTTTGCAGAAGAGAAAAGTTACAAAAAAGTTATGAATCTTCCTTGGGCTTCTTTTAACTTTTACTGGATCAGACAATGAACGTTGATAAGATTATAATTCAGTTAAAAACAAAAACACCCAAGTTTATAGCAGGAGAAATCAGTCTCTTTAAATAAAAAAGCTGTAAGTTTATTGCAAATCTAGAAGTACCAGAAAGTCACTAACACAGAACAAATCAGCAATCCTGTTTTTTGTTTTCTTCCAAACATGTAAAACCTTGATAATTGGCATACTGAAATTGGCATACTTTTTTTTTTCATGCAGTTAATAGAATGGACACAGAGCAGATCCCTCAGAAATCAGTTATAAATATTAAATTGTATTTGAACATTCATAGTAAAAAACACGTAAAGTGCTGAAGTCATGTAAGTCTGCAAAACTGCCACAAGCTCAAAGTCCTTCTCGAGTAGTGACAGAAGAATTGCTACATCCACCTTGCTTTAGGTGTGCCTGTGTTTTCGACACTTTGTCATCTCCCTCCCACCCACCAAAGTTTTACAGATTGTCCTATCTCTATGGCTGATAAAATGTTGTACAAAATGTAGGAGGTGACGGTGAGCTATGCCACTTTCATTTCAGTGCAGAAAAATATTCAAGCTTGTGTGTACCTGTAACCAAACTAGGCTGTTAGATTTTTCCCCCTGAGTTGTCACAAAGTAACAGTGAAGATGAATAAAGATGAAGCAATGAACACTAACCACACCTGTAAGGTGAGAGTCAGGACAAATAAGCAGGTAGCCCACCTGTTATCCTTCAACTTGCCCTCTTTACAGAAAAATGTTATAATGAGAAAGACTATACATGTAGTGTAACTCCAAAAAAAACAATGACCGATAACCTGTGGCAGCTTGGTACAATCACGTCACGTTTTCTGTAAGATGTAAATCATAACTTCTAGCTTGTGATGGCAAAATAAATGTCTCTGCTACCCCATGTGAAATACAGAAATGCTTTAACAGTTTGATGCTTTTTAAAAAAATCAGAAATGCTTCAACAATTCAATGAAATATTCTGATCAAAGAAGATCCTCAAGTGTTCTTAGGTGATGAAATAAAATTACTTTAAAAAGCTCAGGCGACTTGCTATTCATTATATTCCCCCTTTAAATAGCACACATTGCCTTTAATCAAATAGAAGAATCATTATACCTTGGCCTTTTTATGAGAGTAACTTTATAAGACAAGAAGTATTCTTTGAGGCATTTAAAGGATTGCAGAAAGGAGGTAAAAATGCTGACTATGTCTCAGATTTTACTTCTTTTGATTACTCATCCTAGAATAACTTAATAATAAATAGTGGTTTAAATTAAAGATACTATAATCACATATTTCTGAATAATTAAAAGCAACAGGAAACACAATTTTGAACGTCATTCTGTCTATTCTGTATTGAAATACTTGTGGTAATGACTAGCCATAAAAAGAAGTGGTAATCTTCACATTTATGAAGTTCAAGTTTCTATATATTTTAAAAAGTTCTGCTCATTAGCCAAATGTTTGGTCTTAAAACTGTATTTCAATCTCCACGAAGTATTTGGAAAATTAAGAGGCCATAATTTTCAAATGGAAACCTCAGTGTTTTCCAAGGGGTATTTAATTTTGAAAATTAGCAATTTAAAAAATGATCTTAACGATTTTTTTGGTACGGCCAATTTCATTTCAGTGACCTGGGCTATGTGTCATTTTACAAGACAGTAGTTCATCACATGTGAGAGTTCTTAAAACCACTTTGCCAATTCATGTCACTATTTTAAAACCGGAATGTGAATGGAAGAGTCCTTCTGTGTATCTTTGTATTGCTACTGAATATAGCCACATTTATATACGGAAGAGTGTTTGGTTGTTTATGTTTTGGCTTTAAAAAACAAGCAAAAAGGAAAACTTAAAAAGAAACAAAGGGATGTTGGTGGTGGTGTTCACATATACATTCCCTTCAAAATGGACTTTGAAAGTGGAGTAGAGTGGTTAGCTCCTCTCCCTCCCTAGCTCCCTCCCACACCACCCTCCACTCCCCACCCCTCACCAACCAACATAATGGCTGATGTTACAGGAAAGCAAGTCATACTGGCTCTGTTTTCATATGAACTCTATGCTCATTTTTCCCAAGATCCATTTCAAGAAAGTCTTCGGGGATGTCTTGTAAAGCTTGCCTGGGACAACCTTCTGTCTTTGTTTCATCTGAATGATGCCACTGGCACAGTCCCTTTTTACAGGGTCTCACAAGTGCAAGGCACACAGCTGCCATGGTCATCCCCGCCGCGCAGGAGTAGAAGGCTCTGCTGTATATTTTGCTTTGGTCCACCAGCAGACCTGGGAGGAAGCAGGAGCATTTGTTAACAGCCAACCTACTGGACACAAACTTTCTCACCCAGGTTCCCATCAAATTCAGAAACTTCTGTCTCTTTGCCTTCCTTTATTTTTTTTTCTTAAAGAAAAAAAGGTGTTGATGGTAAGAATCTTTTCTAGCCCAGTGAGAAAAAATAAATAAACCATGCAAGTATACAAAATACTCAGCACCTCAGAAAATAAGCTGCTAATGTGTTCTTCGTCGGCTAAGTCTGTCCTCGCAGAGAAGCTAACACGTGGGACAGCTAGATGCATGCTTTTTTGAAAATGTAATGTTCTGAAGTAAGGAAAAAGCTATTATTTTCATTTGTGTTCACTCCAGGTATCTTTTAATCTAATCACAGTAACTTTAAGGACCTATTTCAGATCTAGGATATGAAACCTATTTATGTCCCTCCTACAAGGAAATAGTCTATAGTAATCAATTACCTATTTGCTGAGGGCTGCTATGTGTTTAGTTTCCTAACACCTTCCCTAGGAAGGAAGGATGACTTACAGAAGTCCCTTATTTCCACTATTCCACTGTCATGGTTTATAAGGTCATAAATCCATGGGTTCCCCTCTAACATTAGACAAGGCAAGATGGCAGAAAGATCGTGGGGCAGCTTAGACGGAAGATAACAGGTTTTAATCCTGACTTGGTCACAAATTTATCATATGACTTTTGGCTTAAATCTGGCTTCAGTTTCCTCACATTTAAACCAAAAGGGTTAGCTCCTGTAATCTCTCATTTCTATTGTTGTGTTAGCTGCTATCAAGTCAGCCACCAAATCATGATGACCCAAAGCACAACATAAAGAAACACTGCCCAGTCCTGCGCTGTCCCTACAATGGTTTAGAGATCAGACCGTTGTATTCCATAGGGTTTTTACTGACTGATTTTCTCAAGTAGACCACCAGGCCTTTCCTCCTAGTCCATCTTAGTGTAGAAACTCTGCTGAAACCTTTTCAGCATCACAGCAACACAAAAACCTTAAGACAGATGGGTGGTGGCTGTGCATGAGGCACACTGGCTGGAAATCAAACTCAGGCCTCCCCTGTGGAAGGTGAGAATTCTACCACTGAGCCACCGATGCCTTTCTCCCTACCAGTTCTAAAAATTCATGGAAGTATAAAAATCAGTAGATTTGTTACTAGACTGGGACAGGATGCTAGCACAACTAATAAGGGGATAGGAGACAAGGGTTTGTATTTCATGTATTTCAATTACCTGCAAGGGGTGGTCCAGCCAGTCCTGCTGTGCTCTGAATGAAGACATAGACTCCAGCTGCAGAAGACATCCTCTCGATTCCCACCACATCCTCTTCAGCCAGCAGTGGAATGTGGGTACCTCCTACTGTTCCAACCATAAAACCAAAAAATATGCTACACAACATAAGACCCCAGAATTCAGTCGCAAAAGTAAAGGCAAACAGAGACACAGTCAATAAGATGACACAGATGAGCTCGATGTAGATCTTACGAATGGGCTGTCTGTTGAAGACCAAGCCAGCTGCGATTCTTCCAAACACTTCAGCAATTGCCATTGCCGATAACAGGAAAGCAGCGCGATCCTGATCAATGCCCAGACTGATGCCCAAAGGAATGATGTACAACGGAGGTGCAAAGAATCCCAGTGTAGCAAAGAGACCAAATAATGCATAACAAATAAAACTCTTCTCTTTCAAAATCGAGAAGTCTAAGAGCGCGACTTCCTTATCGCTTTGCCTGGCGCTGGTTTTCGCCAGGGTCTGTTGTATGTCAGCCTTGGGCTCCAGCTCCATGTTCGTGTGACTAGGCACATTTTTAGGTGAGGTAGGTAGTTCTACTCCTGAGTCAATGGAGTCGATTGAGGTCCGTGTTTTCTCATTTTCAAGCATATATTGCACTTCTTTCCGATTTTCCTGGGTAGTGGTTTTTGGTGACCCTGGTGCTCTGATGATAATCGGTCTTAGCAGTGATCCACAGACGACAATGTTTAACTGCAGCAGGCCCACAAAGAGGAGGCTGTTTCTCCAGCCAACGTTCTCCTTCAGAGCTGTGATTGCTAGAATAGGCAGGAGTGAAGGAGAAACACAACTGAAGGTCAATAATGGACTTGGGACCCAGAAGATAGTATCAATAAGAACTATGGATTCACATTTGGTAATAATTTTTTGTAAAAATTTACTCAGCAGTGTGAATGCAGTCAACCTGTTCTATCCTATATTCTAGGTTTTCCTGCTTTTCTGAATCCATAAGGAGAAAATGTGCATTATGATTATTATCTACAAAGCAAAAATTTACAGCCCAGGTCTCAAAAAGAGTTCTGGAGGGTACGTTTTGCCAAGTAGAGGCACAAGAAGTGAAGTATGTTTGTGAGCCACATGAGGGTTCAGCAGACTGCAGTTTGAGGGCCAAATCCGGCCCAAGGCCTGTTTTTATTAATAAAGTTTAACTGGAACACAGCAATGCTCATTCACTTGCATAGTCTACGGCTGCTTTTGGGCCGTAACAGCAGAGTTGAGTAGTTGCGACAGAGACCCCATAATCCGCAAAGCCTAAAATACTTACTACCTGGTCTTTTACAAAAAGAGTGTGTGGATCTCTGATCTGTATCATTATACACCCACTTATTCAATCCTTAGGAGTAACGGATTAAATAAAAAAATGGACTAAGAGTCTAAAAATGCACATGATTATCCCAGAATTAAATCATCCTCCAGTTTCTCCCTGGTGCTGTGTCTTTAACTACCTGAGCTCTCCTCCGGCCACTGAGTTGGAACCTAGGCTGCTGATGAGAGGCGGCCTGGAAGGTGGGCTGGACACAGCAATGTGAGATGGAGGATACGCCAAACCAAAAGCAAACAAACCAAAAAAACCAGTTGCTGTCGAACTGATTCATTTTCATAGCAACTGTATAGGGCAGAGTAGACTGTCCCATAGCGTTTCCAAGGAACGGCTAGTGGATTCGAACCGTGACCTTTCCGTTAGCAGTCGAGCTCTTAACCACTGTGCCACCGGGGCTCCAAGGACATGGCCAGAGAGAGCATAAAGCTCCACAGTTACAATGGGATAATGTAGGCCCCACAAGATCTTAAAGTATCTTCTTCATCATCCCAGAAGATTGTGTTCATTATAATTTCATGTTACTATCTTCTGATTCTCTGAGCACTAACAGTCCAGTATGACAGAGTAACTCAGTTAACCAGAATATACACTTAGCAGGAAAAGAGGCCCCATCCCTTGGCTGAGGTGCCCGTTACTTCTGTAGCATGTTGTGCTCACCCCTCTTGTTCCCCCCATTATAATGGAAAATGTAGAATTGCAAAATATCTGCTAATAGGTGACTCCCACTGTATGTCTAATGAAAGGTTATTTGCCCTCGGTTTTCCTGGGTATTTCAAAGTGCTTTATACCCATCTGGCAATAATCAGTCTACTTTTTCCTTCTCCACTAAACATTTCTTGAGTGCCTACCGGGTGCCAGGTCCTGTGCCAAGTGCCAGGGGAACAAAGCTGACCAAGACGGGTCTCTCCCTTGAGGGCACTCACAGGCTACCTAGTCTGTCTCCCCTCAACATTTTCTTTTGAAAAATTTCAAACCGCCAGAAAAGCAGAAAGAATGACACCTGTATGCCTGCCCATCACCAAAATTCAACAACGAACATTTTCCTCAGTCTCTGTCTGCCTGTCTCTCTATATATACTGTCTCTCTATATTTATTGGAGCCCTGGTAGCACAGTGGGTTAAGCGCTACGGCTGCTAACCAAAAGGTGAGCAGTTCGAATCCACCAGCTGCTTCTTGGAAGCCCAATGGGGCAGTTCTACTCTGTCTTATAGGATCGCTATGAGTCAGAATTGACTCGATGGCAAGGAGTTGGGGTTTTATATGTTTATTAACACATACATACATTGTTCCAAACCATTTAAAAAGCTGTAGACATTATGACATGTCATGCCTAAACATCTGCACATGTATCTCCTTAGGACAAAATGCAGTCCACTGGCACATTCATCAAGAAAGGGCAGGGTACAAAATGCGCTGGGTCTCCAGGGCCGTCTGTCTCCTCCTTGTGAGAGTGTAATTCGATGGCAACAAGTATTATATATGGGTAGACTATTATTAAAATAGTTCGAATTCCTAAAATGGGAGCTCCAAAAAAACCCAGACCTGTTGCTATCTAGTTGATTCCAACTCATAGCAACCCTACAGGACAGAGTAGAATTGCCTCATAGGGTTTCCAAGGAGTGGCTGGTGGATTTGAGCTGCCGACCTTTTGGTTAGCAGCTGAGCTCTTTCTTACCCACTGTGCCGTTAGGGAGGATATATCCTTAAGATGTGCTGGAAAACAGAAGGCCAAAACCCTTTTATTGTTGTTGTTTGGTGCTGTTGAGTCGATTCAGATTCAGAGCGACCCTACAGGACAGAGTAGAACTGCCCCATAGGGTTTCCTAGGCTGTAATCTTTATGGGATTATGGCTCTTTCTCCCGCAGAGCCACTGGGTAGGTTCGAACCGCCAACCTTGTCGGTTAGCAGCTGGGCGCTTAACCGTTGAACCACCAGGGCTCATTAACCTTTGATTAGACATACAGTTAAAGTCATCCATTAGCTGATCATTGGCAAAAGTTAGTGTGGCAAGAATAGCTAAGTGGGTTCCCCTATTCCACGTGACTACGTAGACTACGGTGGTCCACGTACCTGGTGCAAAAGCAAACACGGCGAAACATTCTCCCGTAGAAGCAACTGCAGTAACCACGGAGCGCTTCTTGTCAAAGTACTGTGATAGAATGGTGACAGTTGGCAGAAAGCTAAAGCAATATCCCAAACCTGTGAAAAGAAAGTAAAAATGAACTGTGAGAATCACACACTGATGCTAGAAGGATGCATTCAAATATCTGGGTTTTCTGTGTCTGTTTTTTAAATAAGTTCTGACAGCCATATAATTTATTCTGGAGAAAAGTGATGTAGCAAGGGTCTGGAGAAGCCGTAACTGTTGTTTTGGGGTGCTCGTTGCTATTAGCTGCGGTTGCATCAGCTGCATTCATGGTAACTGTGATGTTGGCATGGTATAACAGAACGTTGCCCAGTCCTCTGCCGTCTTCATGATTGTTGGTACATCTGAGTCCACTGTTGTGGCTATTGTGTCAATCCATCTCATTGAGGGTTTCCCTCATTTTTGCTGACCCCTAAGTTACCAAGGAGCCCTGGAAGCGCAGTGGTTAAGCGCTCAGCTGCTAACCAAAATGGTCAACAGTTGGAATCCACCAGCTGCTCCTTGGAAACCCTGTGGGGCAGTTCTGTGCTGTCCTATAGGGCCACAATAAGTTGGAATCGACTCCATGGCAATGAGTTTGGTTTGGTTTTGGTTTAAGTTACCAAACAAGAGTGTAAAAAATGTTCTCTGGCTTCTTCTAAAATTCTACATTCCTTTTTCAAATTTATATTAATTCACAACGAACACAACTATTACTGAATATAGTTTTTGTCTAAGACTTCTACTTGGAAAGAAATGAGTCTTTTGATATTCGAGGAAATATATGAAAAATTTAGTGTGTGCAAATCTTAACTAAGTATCTATATCATCTGTGAGTAGGTATGGATGCGTTTTAAAGGGAAAAAAGTTTCTCGAACCCCCAAGAATAATCCAGCACACTGTGCCCTCCCCCACAGCCCAAGATCTTCAGACCCTCGATTAGAGAAATACCCGCTAAAGAAATTCAAGGCTTTGGTTGTAAGATGATGTCTTTTGGTTGTAAAATAAAGCAACAGGGAAGTTATCATTGGTGAATTTTAAAAAATATATCAAACAAAAACTCCTGGGCACTTGAGAATAGATTCTTATATCCCCCGGAGTCCATAAAACCCAGTTCAAAAGCCATAATCTGAAACATATTAATTTTAGAGAAAAAAATAAGAGAAAGAAATACAATCTGGTGGTGGTTGCTGTCAAGTTCATTCTGACTCATGGCGACCCCATGTGTGTGGAGCAGAATGGCTTCATAGGGTTTTCAAGGCTATGATCTTTCTGAAGTCGATCCCCAGGCCTGTCTTCCAAGGTGCCTCTGGGTGGGTTTGAACCGCCAACCTTTGGGCTTGTAGTTGAGCACTTAACCATTCACACCACCCAGGGACTCCAATCTTGACAAGTGTTTAATCCCTCCTTCTTTCTCCTTGTTCTTCAAACCCAGAAACTAAGTATCTAGAGAACTTTTGAGTTGAGGAGAAACACTTACCAGAAATGATCCCGACGGTGATGTACATGTGGTAAACAGCCTGTGAAAAGGAGGCTGTCACCATTCCTGTGGTGACAAGCAGCCCTCCAACTATCACCACCAGCCGGTGTCCAAAACGGTTGCTCAGGACTGTGGTGAGGGGAGCTGCATTACAAGACAATAAAACAGTATTTTAACTCATAAAGGCTGCAGCGTCAGCCTCAATAAAATCTCTTCTTTCAAGTCTTGAATATGGAGAGACAGTGTAAAATATATAATAAATTTTATGCAATGGTTATTTAAGTCATTTGAGGAATTATTTTAGCATTTGTTCAAATTGGACAATATTCTCCAGGCTCCTTAAAGAGAAAGCCAGAGTAACCGTGTAAAACTTATATCCATCTTTTTAGATGAAAGATTTTGACTTACCATGCAGTGACTGAAAAATTAAGTATGCATTTAATTTGTTATTCTGTGATAACAATTGGATTTACTATGAATAAATTGTTTTAGTATGAAAAAATTGGTTCCCTATGAGTTTACTATGAGGCAAAAACGATTGCTTGAATTGTTTTCTTTCTATACTCATTGCTTTGGATTCTTTTTAAAAAGCTCCATTTAGGGTCAAATTCTAGCTTCATTTCATTTGAAACTTCTTCTGAAAATGAGTATGGTCATTTCTCAGTTACACCTAAAGGAGAAGAGCTATGGCATAGATATGTTAAAGTGGCTGATGAATTATTCTTTGCTTAGCTTAGTTCTAGATTCTATAATGCTCTGTTGTTGTTAACTGCTGTTGAGTAGGTCCCCTACTCATGGCAACCTCATGCACAACAGAATGAAATGCTGCCTGGTCCTGCACCATCCCCATGATCACTCGCAGATCGGATTATTGTGACCCATAGGGTTTTCATTGGCTGATTTTCAGAAGTAGATCGCCAGGCCTTTCTTCCTAGTCCATCTTAGTCTGGAAGCTCTGCTGAATCCTGTTCAGCATCATAGCAACACGCAAGCCTACATGGATAGACGGGTGGTGGCTGCGCATGAGAGGCGCTGTCTGGGAGTCAAACCTGAGACTCCCGCACAGAAGGCAAGAATTCTGCCACTGAACAACAATGCCCCCCATTCTGCCCGGTACATTTCAATCTGGCAAAACAGTTTTCTAGTTATATGCTACTTAAGCTAATATTAATACTGTCTTGAATATACTCAGATATGTGGCCAGCTGAGAGTCGGGGCAAACACAGAACATGCTGGTACAGTTCCAGTTCCAGTGGAGTTGATTCTGACTCACGGCAACCTATGTGTGAAAGGGCAGAAAACTTCAATTTTGCTGGGGTTGTCCACACATACTATTATATTTGTTAGCAGAATGTAAACTAATATTGAATATAGCTAATAATGCAATTATTGTTATGATTTTTAGGCAGTATGTTGGTTCAGAGCATTAGTTACTAAAATACATGACTTCTAAAAGAAACAGTATTAAACAGAAACTTCTTATTGACTACATTGTTATCTTTGGTTATAAAAATAGCTAAAACTAAAAAAAAAAAAAAGCTAAAACTTAAGCTTTTGGACTGTCTTTTTATTTAGACTACCAAATATAAAATGCTAGTTCTAGTTTATTTAAATTCTCTGAGAAGGCAAACGTTCCACAACTTAAAAATTAAATATTGTTATACTTAAAATGGAGGGCAGTGGTGGTTCAGTGGTAGGATTCTTGCCTTCCATGCTGGAGACCCGGGTTTGATTCCCTGCCAACACACCTCTTGCATAGCTCCACCTGTCAGTGGAGGCTTGCGTGTTGCTATGATGCTGAACAGCTTTCAGTGGAGCTTCCAGACTAAGATGGACTAGGAAGAAAGGCCTGGTGGTCTACTTCCAAAAATCAGCCAATGAAAACCCTACGGATCACAATGGTCCGACCTGCAAACGATCATGGAGATGACGCAGGACCCGGCAGCGTTTCATTCCGTTGCACATGGGGTCTCTGTGAATTGGGGGCCATCTGGACAGCAGCTAACAACAACAATAACCAATTAAAATGGAAGTAGGAGCTTTTCTATGAAACTTGTAGGAGGCGGTATTAGGATTAATACAAGAAATTCCTACCCTACCCAATAGGTAAAAACAGATGGAGCTGCTTCTTTAAGATATTATATGGCTGAAAACTAATTGGTGAGGCAGTGGTTAAGAGCTTGGCTGCTAACCAAAAGTTGGCAGTTCAAATCCACCAGCTGCTCCTTGGAGACCCTATGGGGCAGTTCTACTCTGTCCTATAGGATTGCTATGACTTGGAATCGACTCAACAGCAATGGGTTTGGTTTTTATTTTTTTAGTTAATGTCAGAGATAACAGTTCTGTGACAGGATGTTAGGATAAAGTTAGGGGTGTTTAAGGTCAACCGGTTAACTTTCTGAGGTAAGTTCAACAGCCTTGTCATCTCAGAAAACTGTCAGTGTTGCCGCTGACGGAGAGATGAGCCGACATGTGACCTAGTACCCATGTTCCAGTTAGGCCTGAATGACATTATACTAAAAACCCCATTTTATTTTATCCTGTTGGGTGTGGGAGGATTGCACGATGGTTAATCAGTGAAGTCCTTTAGGGAGTGCAGAGTGTCACCTCTGGACAATAGCTGTAATTTTACGTTATGTCCTTTTCTGTATCTCACCTTTCCTCTTCTCGGGTCTACACTGACGTATTTCCAACCTGCTTTCCTAAGCGTGTTTTTGTGACACCAGGGACTAGTATGCCCTGTACCTTAGCTGTTGCTTTAGAAAATGATTACATCCCCACAGACCTGGGGTTGACCGCTATCCTTACAGTAATCTACAGTATCTCAAGACCACGCACGCAGTAGGTGTTTATATACATGTGTTAAATTGAACGCAGGTAAGGCTGGCAAATAAGACTTTTTCTTCAGTGCTTCTTGTCCCTTGCCACCCGTCCCTGCCAAAAAACCGTATCACTTAACTGAGGCTAGAAAGGGCCAACAGGTCATATAAGGAAACACATCATAAACACACCAAGTACCATGATGTCCACAGGGAAAGTCAAAGGGGCTTGCGCTTATATTGTGTTGAAGCTGAAAGATGTGCTAACCTGTGAACGTTAAGACGAACACACATATCGATACTATCCATGAGATCTTGCTATTCGATTCATCAAAACTGTCGATTAAGTCATTAAAGAAGACACCAAACGATTTGATGATGCCATAGGTAAAGACTTCGACAAAGAAAAAAGAAACGGCTACTGCCCAGCCCCATCCTCCATCAGGCACTTGAGTGTAAACATTGGCTCTGGAACAAAGCTTTGATTTCTTCTGGGTCATTCTTAATCTGAAAAAAAAAAAAAAAAAATGTAGACCAGCAACAGTGTGAGGGCTGATGATTCTAATACTCTTTAGCAAAATAACAGATATGAACTACTTACCAGATTTCTTACGTTGTTGAATATTTAAATCATGTCCCTTAACATTTACTGAAAGGAGCCTTGGTGGCACAATAGTTAAGATGCTCGGCTGCTAACTGGAAGGTTGGCGGTTGGAACCCACCAGCCCTCTGCGGGAGAAAGATGTGGCAGTCTGCTTCTGTAAAGATTTACAGCCTAGGAAACCCTATGGGGCAGTTCTAGGGTCGCTATGAGTTGGAATCAGCTTGATGGCAGTAGGGTTTTAATTTTTTTTTTTTTATGAGTTGGAATCGACTCGAGGGCACACACCAACAAGATGCTTTAAGAAGCTTATGCTCTCTGCAGCAGAGGCCTTTGCATTTTGATGTATGTTGATGTGTCATGCTTGAGAGTACATGAAAAGGTTGTGAAGGACAGTGAAATAGTTCAAGATGTAGACTGAGCAGCAACAGAATAGTGTGTCATCAGTGATCCCGACATGGAAAGCAACTGATTTAAGATGACAGCCAGGAGCCTGCCCTCCAGCAATTGAGGTTCCCACAACCTCCCTCTTGCCTTCATCAGCCTTTCAAAAGTCACTCTCGGGATGAGGCAGCTGTGGCCCGAGGAGTGAAAACAACACTAGGGTTTTAAGATTCGGCATACAAAAGAACAAAAACAAAAAACTCAGTAATACCTAAGTAATACCCAGTGTTGGCTTCAGAATCATGTTTAATCCTGGGACGTGGAGAGGAGGGGAAGTGGTGGTGGCTGGCCTGCGGCTGTTGGGTCCTTAGCCTTTAGGGACCTTTTCCATTTCATTCCTTTATCAGGCCACTGGGGAGGCCTGGTGGTGCAACGGTTAAGCACTTGGCTATTAATCAAAAGGTTGGCAGTTCGAACCAACCCAGCAGCTCTGAGGGAGAAAGATCTAGAAGACTATGGGGCAGTTCTACTCTGTCACATGGGATCACTGTTAAATCGAAATGAACTCGATGGATCCTAATTAACAACAAATCAGGCCATTCGTTTGAGCTTTTCCTTGTGAGGCCTTTTAAGAGCTTCCTGACCAGCTCTGTGTGTCTAGCACGGTGAATCTTTTTGAAATGCTGCATTGTCATGAAATTTTTCTGCTCAGATTTTTTTCAACGCCTTCCCTCTTCCTGAAGGATAAAATCTACTAATTAGTGTGACTTTCGGTGTCCTTCATAATTGGATCCCAACCTATCTTTGTAGCCTTATTTCTCCCTGACCTCAGACTTGACTCAGCCACCATGGCCAAACTGGGCTCCTCCTTGCTCTCTAGTTTCGAACCACTGTGCCCTTGGCCATGCCCTTGCCCCACCTGGATGCCTTCTCTACAGCTGCCACATTGTTGTTGTTGTTATGGGGAAAGGAGCGGTTAAGCAATTGGCTTGAACCCACTCCGCAAGAGAAAGATGTGGCGATCTGCTTCCCGAAAGATTACAGCTTTGGAAACCCCATGAGGCAGTTCTACTCTGTCTTACAGAGTCACTATGAGTCAGGATCAACTCAACAGAAACAGGTTTACGGGTAGTCTTTATGGGAGCAGATCACCAGGTCTTTCTCCCGCAGAGCCATTGGGTGGCTTTGAACCGACAACCTTTTGGTTAGTTCTGAGCCCTTAACCATTGCACCACCAGGGCTCCTTAGCTGGCACAGTATGACCCTGCTCCATCAAATCATCCCTCTATAATGCTTTCTCCAACCAACTCAACCTAAGGGGCTCTCTTCTTCATGTGGCAGACATCATTTAAAGATGGGGTATTGTTTACTTTTATGCATACCTCTTATTTCCTCAATTAAATTATTTGCTCCTGGAAAACAAAGTCTGGGGCCTACATCTCTGTATTCCCCACAGTATCTTGCACACAGCTTTTATTTATATATTCAACAAAGTATCTACTAAGTGCCAGGCCCTATGGCAGGACTGGGGATACTACAGTGAAAAGACAGTTGGTCTCTGCCTCCTGGACTTAAGTATTTGCTGATGATAATGATAAAGAACCTCAAGACTGAACCCATCATATTTAAGACTATTCAGCCCCATCCTTCCAGAGTTCAGCACATTCCTGGTAAGTCGTCAGGATGATGTGGTTAAGTACAAGATCATATGGGCACGATTGTTCTGTCCCAGAGGGTGCCCATAGGGTCTCTGAGTCTTAATGGAGCGCTCAGGACCCACTTGAATGAAAATAGATGGGGATAAAATTGATAAGGGTCTCAGAGAGATAAGCTGAATCTCTCTGTAGCCTAAAATCACTGCAGGATCAAGAGACAGAATCTTTTTGTTGGACTGCATTTAGATGAGTAGTACTGGATTGCTGTTTTTTATGTCGGGCTGATTTTTCACCTTGCTTCCATTCTCATCAGTGCTTTGCACTTGGACAGTACCTGGAGTTAGGATCAAACCGTGGCCACAGAATGGAGTTAGAATTACATAATGTTAAAGCCGAAAGGGAACGTCAGCTCTAACGTCTTGTTCAATTCCTGTTTGTAAAATGAGGCTGCCAAGCCCCAGAGAGGTCAACTGGCTTGTCCAAAATGGCCCAGAATCAGATCTCTTGCCTGCCAGGTGCTGCTGTATCAGCCTGCAGGTCAGCATTTTAAAGAGCTGACAGGGAAGTGTTTTATGGGGAGATGGTGGGGAAACAATTTTAAAATATAAAACCATCTTGACCTCTAGGTATAAAGAGGTCTGTGAACTGTTTTGCCACTCAACTGTGTGACCTTGGCAAAGTGACTTCACCTCCCTAGGCCTGAGTTCCTCACTAGTCAAACGAGAAGGCTGGACAAGATAATCTTCAAAGTTCCATCCAACTATGTTGACACTTTTGTATTCAGCACCGAGTTCTATTAATCAGGAGTCCCTGGGTGGTATAAATGGTTAACATACCAGCCTGCTAACCAAAAGGTTGGAGGGTCAAGTCCACCAAAGGTGCTTCAGAAGAAAGGCCTGCTGATCTGCTTCCAAAAAACCAGCCATTGAAAAGCCTGTGGAGCACACTTCCACTTTGACACACATGGGGTCACCACGAATTGGAATTGACTCAGTGGCAACTAGTTACTGGTTCTATTAATCAGTTGATTCCTCAGGCCAAACCCGAGGGCCCAAGCAACCTGAGCTGCAAGGAATGTGCAAATGCTGTGTAATTCTTGCAAATATGGGTGTAAAGTACCTGGCCACTGGTTAGAGATGATCCATGACAGACCTAGGAGAAGACAATGGACTTCTGACGGCTCTACTTCCCTTACCTTCACTTTCTCAGCCCCTTCTGAGTGACTGATTCCTTTAACTTTTTTTAAAAAACTTTGCTTTACAGCTATACTACTCTACTGAAGATAGATCCAAATATAACTTTTTATCTACACTCTCAGCTTTTTGGAGGGCAGAAGCTGTCTTACTACTGGGACCATCATAAAGGAAAGCTGATGCCCAAAGTTGATGCCATCATCTTCCTAAAGCATCCTATGTCCTATTGTATTTAGCTTTGAAAATAAGAAGTTATTTTCAGTAAGAAATATAAGAGTATTACAGATGTTTATTATCTGATATAGAATTCTGAAACAGAATAACCTGGTTCCTAAAATTTGCTGGACGATAACTTCTGCCTTTCAAATATATGGCCCTACAGGGCAGGCACCAGCTCTTTCCAGACCCAGTGTCTGGCATAGCGTTTGGTATGTAGTATGTGCTCAGTAAACATTTAATAAGCAGAGTAGGAGTCTTATCCTTTTAAAACCAGGTCACAAAGTGAGGAAGTCCCTGGTTGCAGAATACATCCTTTCGTGAGCTCTCGTTCTTTCTCTGCTTCATTCAGGAGGAGGCCGACTGGCTTAAGCCCGTCTGCCTCTGCAAAGCCTCTGCAAACAAAGCAAGTAACGGAGGCCTGAATTTTGAACTCAGTTGCTTGGAACCAAAAAAACCCATTGCGGTCGATTCCAACTCACAGGGACCCTACAGGATAGAACCGTCCCATAGGGTTTCCAAGGAGTGGCTGGTGGATTGGAACTGCCGACCTTTTGGTTAGCAGCCAAACTCTTAACCATTGCACCACCAGGGCTGCAGCTGCCTGGAAGCCTCTGTGAATTCCAGAATATGGAAGTTATCTGTCCCACTTTGGCTTTATGGGCGCGTGGATTTATCTGCTGGGAAGGAGTATGAGTTCACTGTGTGGGGATCGAACTGGTGGGGTGAGCTGAGTGACCCTATGCCTTGGTGAATCACTTCACCCTTCATTTTCAGTGTCCTCTGCTGGTCACTGAGGGAGCTGAACTAGACTCTGAAGATCTCAGCTCTCGTCCTACCCTAAGAATTTACATTTCTTTGACACTAATTTGCTCTACATGCCTCTCATCCTTTTCAACTCACTGAAGTTTTTAGAACGCAAGGCCCATGACTTTGTCTTCATGAGGCCCCCCGAGCAATATCTGTTGAATTTGTTTACTACTAACTGGATTGAAAGCACTTAATCCCCCAATTTCATCCTCTGTAAAACTAGAGGATTAGAGAAAGCTTTCTCTCAGGTCTTCCAGCTCTAAAATCCACAATTCTGAACCTCAGCAGCCATCTTCCCTTCAGCCCAATGTTCTTCAGAAGGCAGCAGAATGACAAATACATGCTGAGCAAACTGGATTACCTTCTATTAGCATTTGATTGCTTAAACCATCACCTCAGATAAATGTATTTTGTCAAGGCTTAGAAATCTGCTCTACCTCAGAGTTTCAATGTGATGAGATTTGTTGAGAAAAGATTTGAACTGAAAGCATAAAGGAGCCGCGGTGGTGCATGATTTAGCACTTGGCTTCTAGCCTGAAGGTTGGTGGTTTTTCAACCCACCAGCCGCGTGGGAGAAAGATGTGGCCATTTGCTTCCATAAAGATTACGGACTTGGAAACCCTATGGGGCAGTTCTACTTTGTCCTGTAGGATCCCTATGAGTTGGAACAGACTGAATGGCAATGGGTTTGGTTTTTTGGTTTTGAAGGCATGAACAATGCAAAATATCAGGTTATTATAGACCATACAGATATGTTAGTCCAGAGTCAGCTCAGAGCAAAACTAAAAATGCAGGCTTGGATGGAAAGGGCAAAGGCTAAGGGGGAGGGTAGGAACAGAGCCTCTGCAAAAGTACTGTGAATCTCCATTCTTCTTAAAGGTGTAGCCTGGAGAACGGCTTTGGACAAGTTGTTTCCGGCCCAGGTTGTCAAAACCAGTCTGTATTTAGGTGAAGTTCATTTGAATTCTCCATTTAAAAAAAAAAAAAAATCCCAAACTTGCCCTGAGCAGTTTTGAATCATTTGATACAACTGATTCACCCGTTTTACAAGACCATGATGTTGAAACCTGAACGCCTAATTTAAGGGTCCTCCTCAGGAGTTCCACTGAGGAGAGTCCCATTTTGGACACCACAGAAGGAAAGCTCAGGGTTAGTGGTACTCTAAGATAGAAGGAGCTTTCTCAGTTGCCTGCACTGGCCCTTAAGCCTGAGAAGAGGGATTTCTATACCCCCGGGGAGGATGTGTTTTTGACACAAAAAATGTCACATAATGGTGCTTTGGACATGAGGTGATGCATCACTTCCAGAGATTTCAGGGCAAGCACTTGGCATTTTTTGCAAACAAGACACCCATCTTACGTGATTTGCAAAAACCGTAAGATCGCTGAGAAATCTCATTCCCAGGTTAGAAGCCGCCTCCTGTGAGCAAGAGCCGGCACTGGCTTCCAGGCTGAGAAGTTCTAACTGCTCTTCCCCAGTTAGCTCCGGGCAGCTTTTTCTCAGGCTGATGCCCCGTGTTGGGTGACATTTTACATGTCATCTAACAAAGTTCTATCACCTGTCTGTTGGGGTTAGTTAGGAAAAAAAAAGAAACAACATCCCAGAAGGAAATAGCCCATTTCCTCTACAGACCCACCCTCCCTCGCTACAGAACTGCTCGCCTGCGCCGGCGCTTCCAGGCAGCTGGCAGCCCCGGGAACCTTGGAAGTTGCGCGGGACCAGCCGTCAGCGGCTGACAGCTCTGACGGTCAAGGTGTAGGACCTGAACTCTGCTGGGAAATCCCGGCCTTCCCCTGGGGGGTTCACCTGGGCTGCCCCGGGGAGCATGGGGACGGGGGAGACAGGGAGCCCCACTTTGCCTCGCGCTGCCTCAGTGGCCGCCCGCCGTGCGCGCGCGAGCCTGGGGAAGGTACCTCTGACATTTCGCTCTTGTGACGCGCCGGCAACTTCATGCGGGAAATCCTCGTAGAGGCTGAGCCCGCCGCTCGCACCTCGTCCGGCGGCCCGGAGCACCCAATCCAGGGCCAGGGGCACCCAAAAGCCTGCCCTTTATTTAAGGATTTCCCGTCCCCAAACTGTACCAGGGCCCCAGACTGCCAACTCTTCGGCTGCCCACACCGGAGAGCGCGTCATCTTGGTAGCCTTGAGCATTCCCAACTGTCAAAGAGAATATTTTTCGGAATAACCGCTCCAAAATGTTAAGATGTTAAGTGATTTCCTCCGCCTCCCCCACAAAAAGAAAAAAGGGACAAAATCAAAACATTAACTACAAAAAACACACAAATAGAAAGAGTACAAAAAAAAAAAAAGCCCCCAACACAGATTTAAAAAAAAAAAACCCACACCCCACAATCAAACTTTTAAACGTGTAAAATAATAAAACCAACTCACCAAGTTAGAAGGGAAGAGAATAAACCCAAAAAGGCTCCCCAATAAGGCGGAGGCTTGGCCTCCCCCTCCTTATAAGCCGCTCGGTAACATGAGAACGCGTTTAACCCCTTAAGGCGCGGGCCCGAGCCTATCACAAGTTGGTCCCGGCCGGTGACCCTAGCGCGCAGGGTCTGCCGCGCCCCGGCCCCGGCCCCTTGCC